ACACATACGAGGAAATGGTTTGTTCGGTTGCGTCAATATTGACTTAACAGCGATGGCCATGCGTTAGCCAGGAACGCCGGATAGAGTACCACACCCTTTGGTCTTTGGTGAAAGTCCGTCCGTATGCTTCTGTCAGGTTCGGCAATGTTGAGCTGAGGTGGGCTTGGTGGGATGAAGGAGACATCTCGAGGCGGGCGAGAGCTAGTGCCTCCACTCTCTTCTAGAGGTTGCCTGCGGCATGTACGCATACGGATAGTGTGGGTGGTGTGTGATATCAATACTCTGAATGGCGGCGGCGATAGCGACGGAGCAAGAAGTACTCTATACCCGGCTGACGTTGGCTGGCAGCACGAATCGACCGAAGTGTACTCCGTACGGCGAGTGGTGGGGTGATGGGTCCATCTGAAGAGTCGGATGGGCCAAGCGATAAACGGAGCACATTCCTTCGGACAATTGCTGCTGGTCTTGGGTTGCAGAAGTCACCGCATCTAGGCAAGGTACTGCAGCAAACCGGGCCCCTCAAAGTCAAAGACAACTGTGCTGGTGGGTGCGCAGTCGGAGCTTGGGACATGCGGTTTGTAGGTGTTGGAGCGGGAGGTTGTGGTAGGTACGCTTACACGCTTGATACGGTAGTGTTGCTGTTGGGGTCGAAACTCGAAAGACGTTGATGAGTGAGAGTCAGAGACTGGAAGAGAGCGACGCCGAGAGACAACGGAGAGACACATGGAAAATAAAACCCCAACGCCCATTGGAGAGACACGAGGTATAGACGGGAATGGGCAAGAAGAAGCCATTTTTTGTGGCTGTTGTCGATGGTATGCGCCAAAATGGGGGGCAACTTCCTTTTTTCCCCCTTCTGCTAAGACGTGTGTTTTCTTTTCCCATCTTTTGGGGCAAGAACCACCACCATCTGAGACAAGAACGAAAAGGCAAGCGCCAGGTACAACACGTGAGGCACGGCATCTGCTTCCCGATCTTTTGTTCCTGCCATGAATGTCTCGAGGCAGGTATCCTTTTTTTTTTTTGTGTTCTATGTTCTTTTCTCGTTGCACAGATTGACATCTTAAACATTGAACGGAACACAGGCGTAGATATGAAGTTGCGCTATATCCCTTTCCTGGGGCAGCGGCCTACACGCTTATGGGAAATACACATCATTACCCAAGTTTCCACCGACTCAGGTAGTCACGGTAGTGTAGTGTAGTGTAGTGTTGTGCACCACTGCACACAGCATGGTTCGCCCGAAGCATGGATCAGGCTGCATGTCAAGGCGAGTCAAGAGTCAAGATGAGTGGGATCGTCAACGCCAACAGCGTCCGTGTGCCTGCTTGCGCCCAGACCCTTCTTCCTTTCTTTTTCCTTGCGTGCATGTCTTGGATTGGAGGTGCATTTGCTGCACGCTCTGGGCAACGGACGACGAGCGGGCGAATGGGACAATCAGGGTTCGAAGAAGGGGTCTGACTCTGTTGAAGGGTAAAGGAGTTGCTGCGAGATTGCGGACGCCGACTGGACTGGAGCTCAGGCTCGCAACGAAATGACAAGGTTTCATCTCAATATGCTTTGGGAGGAGAAGTTTCTCTCCCTGCGCTTACTCTTTACCCTAAGCGTGCCAGGAAACCTCTCGATGGCCTCACCCAATGGGGGCGGCGATGCAGGCAAAGGCGCTTTGAATTGAAGACACTCGCGCTTCAAGCGTAGCGGCCATGCAGGCAGCTCGAGCAAGCAAGCTATGCAAGCCAGAGCTAGGCGTGTCTTTGAATGTACCTGATCGGGGACGTTGGTAAGATTGTCTTTAAAGTGTCTTTTCTTCCTTTCTTTCTTGTTGTTGCTCGCTTGGCTGTGGTGGCGGCGGCGGATGAGTGGGCGGCTGCCATGCTTGCTTCCTCTTCAATGTTCTTTATCAATTTTTTTTCTTTCCTCCCTTGGCTTCACTAGCATGATTTCCAGTCTCTGCCTCGTTCATCTTCTCCAGGTTACGATCTGCATGTCGAATCGAGTCGCCGAGGCCAAGTTTGAGTGATGCATGTTAGGTATTTGAATCCCGCCGGGGATGCAGTGCGTGCTTCAGCTGTTGCCAGCGTAACGTCCGGATTCCTATATACGTACTACAGGGCATACAACATATCTCATATCATAGCTACGTTCAGACTCGGTCTCATGCAGTAATGGAAACAGGCATGGCCCGCCAGCAAAGTGCTCAATGCTTGCCGAGAGGTTCCGGGCTGCTGCTTGCACGTTTCTATACAATCCGCTATATCGCCCCCAAACTCGGTCAAGCACTGCATAGCTTCCTTTTCTTCCCCTCACATCCCATCACATCTCGATGTCCAGTGGCCCGTCGAAGTAGGAGGAAGCAACTTAGTCACACTAGCCTGGTACCAGATGTGGACGGTGTTGTCATCCTTCAATGCATGCACTTTGCTGTCAGTCCCGTTGTAGCCAAGTTGGCTCACACTGCTCCAAGGTCAGGCTGCAGACCGTCGCGCTACCGGCAAGTAAAGGATGCTCGAGCTGCAGCGCTGATGACTACCCCCGGCCAAGGTAGGTACCTGACGCAGTGCTCTCTCTGTCCCAGTCCTGCGTATGGATACCGGTGCCTCATCGTCAACGTGGGTATGTTTGTCGTGGGCTGCACTAATTCGTGTAGCGACTGCCTTAGCATTTTGAGGTATTCGTACGCAGCGTGTAAGGTACGAGTACGTATCGTATCATGTCCCAAGCTTCGGTACCTACGGATTCTGTCGGCGGTCAGGTTGCGAATACCTCAGCTGAGAGTTTGGCTCCGCCTCAGGTTGACGTACCCCGGGACATGTGCAAGCCTGAAAGGCATCAGATACCTAAAGCATGCGCTGAATCGGGCCAGACTTTGGGGCCAGTTGCTCACCCAATTTTCTCATTCTTCACCTCACCTTGCCTGATCCGAGTCTTCCCACGTATGCCACGATGTACACTATCTGGTGCTTATGTACCTTACTGGATGAGGTAGTAGGTGACAGGTACCAATATCTTCCAGTTGTGAATCGTGTGAAAAACACGTGTGGTCACCCTTACCTGAAAGACTTTACCATTTTGCATCCCGCCATCTTCCCGCTGCCATAGAGGTCCCCTGACCCCGGTCTCAGTCATCGCATCATCCTCTCTGCGCACGAGGCAACACCTAATTACTCAACGCAGGGCAAAACAGATACGTCTACTTTTGTATAAGGTTACCAAGTTACTAAGTACGTATGGAAACTGATACCTACCTTACTGCGTAGATAGTGGAGGCACCTTGTCAAACTTTACAGCACCTCAATGTCCCGGGCTTGTCTGGCTGAGTTCATCTAGCGGCCCATTCTGGCTGAGAATGGGGACCTGAACTGCCCGATCTCATTACGGATACTCGCCTCACACTCTACGCCATTTCTCTCATGTTGTGAAGCGCGTCTCTCGCCTCCACCAGGCGCTTTCTTCGGAATCCTGACGGCGCCGGGTCTGCCGTTCAACTGGTTCAGACTCACCAAAGCCTGCGAACCGCTAGGTCTTGGTTCTGGTCTTAGGAACTTGGTCTTGTCTTGTCTGATTTGGTCTGGTCTGGCCTGGTGTAAAAAAATAAAAATAAAAAACATGCTGGTCCTGGACCCGAGCGAGCCATGGCCCATCTGGCCCGGCGCCGTCAACGAACAAGGGTGACAGGGATCATTCGTCTCTTGTCATCCTCGTCGCCCACGTCACCTGCGCGCAACCACTTTCAGACCTTTCCTTTTTCCCTCTCGCCATTCTCTCTCCCAACTTTCTCAAGGCCTCTCCCGTCCCCTCCCTTGTCGGCAAACCACGCCCCTCTCTCCAGGACCCAAGCAGCAAAATTCCGCCCACCCCGTCTGCAACCACACACACCCACTTGCTCCCCGCTTGGCCCGTAACCTACATACTGTTCCCACACACCCACGAGTCCACGACACCCCCCTCCCCTTCCCATCTCAAGTTCCCGCTGCATTTTGGGTGGTGAACCGTGAGCCTGCCGCTGCTACAAACTGTATGCCATCCGCTGTCGCTCCTGCGCTGCACCTTGCAAAAATCGCTGCTTCGCCCGGCCTTTCGCAAAGTGGAGGAGGCTGAGTTGACCCCAGTGGACCTGGACTGATCCTGTCTAACAAAGCCCAATTCGTCCCCCAATCTCTCATCTGCCTTTTATTTCCTGCTCCTTCAACTTCTTCCCATACCGGCGGGAACTAGTAAGAGCTGGAGTTTCTGGGTGCTTGTGAATGAGCAACACCGCAGAATACCTTGACGCATGTCGCTGCGTTCATACCCCCGTCTTCATCCGCGAACGGGGACAGGAAGACATCACCAACACCCATAATAAACCCACCACCACTCTGGGCCACGAACACTATGCAACGAGTTTCGAGCTTTCTCCCATCCTGGGAAGCCAGGAGGAGGACCAGCAACGCCAGCACCACGAGCAATGGCCGAAGCAGTGTGGTCACCGCGAGCAGTATCAAATCTCCTCTCGACAAGGTCTTTCGCTGGTCCAGCAAGCCTCCTGCGCCGCTTACCACCAACGCCCTCGTTTCAGCGACAACGTCACGAATAGGTCGGGAGGCTTTTTGGCCGGCTACCCTCGATGCTGAATGCGAGCGCGCTGCTCGCATATTAAAGTCATTTTGTTGTAAGTATACCCTGGCGAGATTTACAATGTTGCTGAAGCTCGACCGCATCATGCCGCGATTCCTCACTAACACCACTGTGCTCGTTTAGCCGACGGATTCCTCGCACCTTTGGACGACCAGCCGAGCAGCGATCCCAACGCCGAGCCAAAAACTCCAGCACGGATTTTCAAGAAAATTCCCTCCCGCATTTTACAAAATGCAGCAGGTATCGCCATTTTTACCTGCATGCGATCTGGCCTGTGGATGACCGGATCAGGCGGTTCAGGCATCCTTATTGCTCGAAAAGCTGACGGCACCTGGTCGCCACCTTCGGGCATCCTACTCCACACACCTTCACTAAGCTTTATTATGGGCATTGACATTTACGACTGTGTCCTAGTAATCAACAACATTGCCGCCCTCGAATCATTAATAACTAAACCAACTCTCACTTTGGGAGAGGACATCGGTCTTACTGCTGGACCGCTGGTTCCACTGGAATCTACAGAGGTCGACAGCCGGTGGAAGGACCTTGACAACACCGTTCTGACATATATGAAGGCGAGAGGGCAGACTCAGAACGTCAACTTGAACGGCTGCATCTTGACGGAACGAGCCAACGAAAATGAGAGGTTCTACGGTGGCAACGTAACGGCGATGGACGTGGTTGCAGGCAATGTGTCGAGGCACGTTGAGGAGACACGCCCTCTATTCGAAGTCATTAAGGAGGCAGAAGGAAGGATCGATGCAGACCAAGCCATCCTCAAAAAGCTTTCGGCATTGCCAGCACCAGGAGACGCCATGATCGAAACGCCTAGGAGCTCGCCAGCATCACCCAAGACTCCTTTCGGCATTCCCAATACTGAGGACCCTGACCCTTTCGGTGTCTTGGCTCTGGAGATGGCAGGACTAGAGATTCGAGAGGCTGGCACACGCCTCCGACCTACGAGTAACCAATTCGAATTCCACCCTGTTCCGTCGAGCCCAGCATTTTCAAAGTTCAGGCAGAGCGGCGAGACCTTTACGACAAAGAGCAACCGAGGGAGCTTAATGTCTACCAAAACCAGCCGCACCAAAATGTCCGAGGCTTGGACACAGTCAAACCAGACAGGAACACCATTCACCTCGCCTAGCCAGAGCCAGAGCCAGAGTGAAGACGGCGCTTCCATTAATAGCCTCCCCGTTCTGAAGGAGCCGGAGGAGGAGGAGGAGGAGGAGCCTGAGGAGGTTGACTACACCAAGATTGACTTCACCCCGTTGAGGCAAATTAGCGGAAGCCATTCGATTGAGGGAACCGTCATGACTGACAGCGACGACCACCTGCGCACCGATGTCAGCACTATGGATGATGCCGCTACCAAGGCTTCCAGCATCTACACGAAGGACGATGCCAGCATCATCTCCAGAAACGACGACGAGAAGGAGGATATCCAGAAGGATGAGCCAGACGTCGACGCTGATGACGAGGAGGATGAGGAAGAAGATGACGACTTCGAAGAGCCTGTTATCTTCGAGGTTGCGGCTGTTCAACCTGCTGCAGTCGTCATGGCTGCCCCTATCCACGCCAAGGGCGCTTTGGTCACCATACCAAAGAGGATCCCTCCTCCTCTGCCCGCCAGAAGCCCTATGAGAACATCTCGCGCCAGCAAGAGCGATATTGGAGACGTCAGCCATCTTCACAGCCCCATGCAGGCCTCTTTCACCCTCTCGCCAAGACAGTCCATCGATTCATCCTCTATCCGAAGCGGTATGGACAACATTCCGTCGATTCAAGAGACGGCCCCAGAATTTTCTGAGGATGAGAAGAAGAAGACAGATTTTGTTGTGGCTGAGAAGCCACAAGCAGAGGATATGTCTTCCCTTTCAACGCCTACAATCCAGGAGCCTGAGCAGGCGACGCCTATGGCACCTGGAGCCTTCCCAGATGAGGAAGACTTCATGAACCCTTTAGGTACATCCCTAGGGGAAACTACAAGCTTTGAGTCGAGACACACCACTCCCCAGACAGTCAATGTCGCATGATACCATTCATTTTCTTCTTGTTTATTTCTAGTCTTTTCAGCGACACAGGCGCCATGGCACCATTTGGGGGCCCTTTAGGTGCACATTCATCACTCAAGAGGTGTACCAGGCGTTTGGGACATTTTGGGACTGGCATCCTCGGTTAAGGATACCAAATAGCTTATAAATAACGACCAACTTTATGACAGGCAAAAGGCGTTTATGGGTGTACAGAACAGAGAGGCCGGTAAAAGGAGGCACCAACAACACCATACCATGGGGGAGACCAGACACAGGAGTGTACCTGTGGGTCAACGAGGTCAAGGTCATTGGAGACCGGACTGTGTGTAGATTTCGGGGCGATAGTTTGCAGCAAACAAGGTGCTGTGAAAGGATTCAATAGAGCTGGAGTGCTATAAAAGGGGTGCCCTTTGGTCACCTAGCGCAGATAGCCTAGTCTTCGACTTATTGCCTAAAGATAATGATCAATCATTCAGAACAGTCTAGCTAGCCGTGATGCCGGATCCCCACACTAAAAGTATGAAGTCACATGTTTACACGCCTTGCGTACGAAGGTGAAGCCGTTCATGAACGTGAAGTCGGCAGAGCTTGAGGCAAAGGGCTGTGTGCCTTTCTCTGCCTGGGTGGTCCGTCTGGGTGGTGGTTTGCTCCATGCTCTTTTCTTACCTCGATTCTTTCTTTTCCATTCAACACTTCAATACTTGCGGAGTTATTATCAACCTCCTTTCTCCTCAAACATAAACACCAAAACCCCAACATATCTCATGATGAGAACCAGCTCACACACCCAAGTGAGATGTGCCTGCAATGGCTGCAAGGCTCGGAGAAATAATGATGCGATGCCTGTGGCACGGACCATCCAGGGGACCTTCCCAGCCAGTTCCGGCTTTGGCTGGGGCAGTGGCAGCCCAGGTGCCAACAGCAGCAGCAGTAGCAGCAACAGCGATAGCGACTCTGAGCACGTCGCCAATTCTTACGCGACTCGACTTCGTCCGCGCCCTCGCCAGCCCACGATTCCCATAACCCCCACGAAGACTCCGAGAAAAGGCGCTGCCAAAACCCCGCGCACGCCAGGAAACCTCGCGCATAACAACGACAACTTGACGGACACTCCCAGCGGTGCTTAGAAAGCTTCGCGCGCCGGCAAAATGTCGACCCAGACGGGCAAGTTCCGCGAGGACCAGGTCCTCATCATCTGTCCCGGCAGCAAGACCACCATGGCCCAGCTGGGATGCGGCGAGCTTACCCCGCCTGTCCACCGTATCCCGACACGCATGTTCAAGGACGCCGAGACGGACGAGTGGCGGCCCTTCCACACCTTCAAGCGCAAGAAGGCCAATACCAATGTCGCGCTTGCCATCGATGGCCCGCGAACTGACGATGATGACTACGAGTGGGTTGAGGATACCGACTCGGACGAAGGCGCTGTCTACCCTATGCAAGGTGCGATTTTCCGGTTGCTACTGCTTTATTTCACGTTTGGGATACTAATTGATGTCTTATTTCAGGCGGTCGTATTGTTAACATGGAGGCGTTCCTGGCGTTCCTTGACCATGTTCACAGCATGCTCACCACCACCTACCACAATACCCCAATCATGCTCATGGCCTCGCCGCAATGGTGCCGCCCCGATACCGAGACGATCGCGCGCTACATCTTCGAAAAGACTCGTACCCCTTCCCTCTGCATGATCCACAGCGGTATCGCTACCCAGTACGGCCTCAAGTGGCCCAGTCTTACCGTGGTGGATATTGGTTACGAAAAGGTCGACGTCACCTGTATACACGACGGCCGCGTGGTCAACCATGGAGAGCTCGGTTCTCCGACCCCGGAGCGCTTCATCTCGGGCGGAGACATGTTCACGCGCAAGCTCCTTGAGAAGCTCAAGGACAAGGACTTCAAGTACGACATGGCGGAGCAACTGAAGAAGAGCCACATCTGCGAGGTGCTGCCATATGCGCCAAACAGCTCGATTCTCATGGATCTCCCGACAGCTCAGACGGCAGGAGCTCCTCCCAGCGCACCTGTTGTGGAGGCGGCTCCTACCGCCGCACCGGCTGCGCAACCGGCTGTTCCTGCTGCCGAGGAAGACATTGAGGAGAAGGCGGCCGAAGAGGGTGTTCTTGATGTGGCGTCCATTGTAACGAGCGGAAATGCGCGTGAGTTCCTCGCCAAGAAGGAGAAGGAGAAGCAGAAGGGTGGCAGGAAGGCCAAGGCTACTCAGGAAGCCGAGGCTGCGAAGCCGGTTCGTCTGCCCAACTCCAAGAGAACTCACAACACCTTTCACTTCGAAGAGGTCGTCATGGAGGAGGTTCAGCCGCCTAAGCCAGAGACCAAGGAGGAGTCCAAGAAGGAAGAGGCGGGCAACGCGGCTGAGTCCAAGGACGTTGAGATGACGGACGACACCAAGCCTGCTGATGTCACAGCTCCTGCGACCACCGAAGGCGACGTCAAGCCCGTCGAGTCTTCCGCTCCTGCAGCGGCAGCGGCAACGGATGGCGCAGCTCCCGCTGCCGCCCCTGCCACTGCTCCCGAGACGAACGGTACAAACGGCCATTCCGCTACGGTTCCTGCGGAGGCCTCTCCCGCCACCAACGGTGCTCCTCAGATGCAAGCTAAGCGCATCCGCCGTGACATTGAGGTCGGTCTCGAGCGCTTCACCTTTGCTGACCGTGGCGAAATCGACCGCATTGTAACCACAATCTACCGCACTATTCAAGGCATCGACGACATGTACATGCGCCCTCCGTGCTGGGACAACCTTGTCTTCGTTGGCAATGGCGCTCGCCTTCGCGGTTTGAAGGACAACATTGTCCAGACCCTCTTGGCTCGCCACCTCATCTCTCCCAGCACGGCGACAATGTTCACCTCGGAGCTGCCGTCTAACATCGCGACCCCGACTGGCACCGGCGCACAGACTCCTACGGGCTCTTTCACGGGCGCCCCGCACCAGCTCCCTGCCAATGCCGCCGCCGGTTCCTCGGGCGTTAACCCCCTGCTTCAGGCCGCGACCACGGCTTCCGCTCAGCACCAGGGCACTCCGGGTCCCAGCGGCGATGCGGGTCCCAACGGCACTCACTCCGTTGCGGGCCATCACTTCCACAGCCAGACGCCCACCAGCATCAAGCTGGCGACGCTGCCTACCTACCTCAGCGAGTGGAACAAGAACGGCTTCGAGGAGGCTATGTTCCTGGGAGCGCAGGTCGCCGCGCGCATCGCTTTCTGCCAGCACAACCTCGATATGGCCGGCCTTGAGGCTCAGCGTCAAGCCAGCCTGAGCAGAGTCGACTACAAGTACGTTTCCTTTCTATTGCCTTCACTATCTATCTCATTGTAGCTTTGCTAACTTTTTCGCAGCGAGCTTGGCCCGAAGGGCATCCGCACTCACTCCATGCTCAAGTAGTTCCAAAAATTGGCCCGCGCGAACACGGGGACGACTGGTTTCTTGTTTCATCAAGTCCTTCAGGGGGACTGGATTGCCCTTCCTGAACGACTACGGCGGCAACAGCGCAGGCATGGGAATTATATCAGGTTCTGACATTGGCCGTCTCTCGGCCATTGATCACGTTTCTTTTCTGTAGCAAGGCTGCACACATTGTGTTCTGGAGTTTTAGGGACATATCAAAAAAACCTCGGGGTGTGAGGCGTGGAGGGATGCTTTTTATTGTGTTTTCTTGCTTGATAATGAAGAAGGGGAACGGATACCAGCACAGAGAGTGAGGGGGAGAGAGGGGAGGAGATGACGGGGAGGACATGGCTGCGAGCGAGCCTGCGAAGATCCTTTTGGCCTTTCGTCTAGGATTTTTCCTCGTCTATACTGTGACGAGTTGGCAGCCCAACCTGTATGATACTCGGGAAAGGATAGGTATAGAATCCTTCAGACTTTGCAATTATTCCTGCAGTGAGACGAATTCATCATTTGCGTGATGCTCATTCTTATTTTCAGCTCCTGGCCGAGAAGGTCTGCATCTCCCCCGGTCGTTTCGACCCGTATGGCTCGTACCATATTATGTTTGCTGGGCCGAAGGCAAGGGACATGTCGGAACAATTGTTGTCAATGGGCGGATTACATTGTATACAACTTTTGTTTTCCACTTGTTTCGGGAATGTGTCTGCTGCGTGAACCTCCTCGGCCGTTCGAGTAGGTGACACTAGCTGCTGGACGAAACCCGAGGTTTCGTGTTTTTCCTTGCCTCGTCGTGACGCCTTTCCTCGGGGCTCGACCGAGGTTCTCTTGTCCAGTTTACTGATAATTTCGGCCTTTGTGTATCGGCGTAGGAAACACCCCCCTTCCGACCCGGTGGCTATCCTGAGTTCTTAAAGGGTGATGTAATCTCGTCTTGTGGGACGTTGGGGAGGCGGTAGAACTCACCACTCTTTGTTTTGGTGGTGATGGTGGAAGGTGAGTATTTATGAGGATCCGAAGTGTCCAGCAAAGGTTCATCTCAGACAGAGAGGAAAATGTTTCGATCTTGGAAGTGACTACTTGCCTGAAGATTGTGCAGCGGTAAGAGCTCTGGTGTAGACTGGCACTCGATTCAATAGATGAGGAGAAGCCAATGGGGGAGGTCATTCGTATACCTTTATTTCCTCTATTGTTTTCGCATATTTGAGGTCTTGTGCTCGATTTCTTGAGGTCGAAGGTGGTAAATATTTTATCCGGGAATTGGTGGTGATGACACATAACAGGAATAGTATCTGTCGAGGTTCACTTGCGGAGTCCGAGTATCATCTCGTCGTGCCGGCAAGTGGGACTCCATGGGCACTTGAGAGCCATCTGTAAGACTACGCTTGAATGGTACAGACGTCATAATAGACAGACACACCAGTGAGTAGTGAGTAGTGAGTAGAAGGCATCCATCATATGAAGAGCTCTCGGGGTGGGTTTCATGGGGCTTGATGAGGTCTGGGGTTGGGTTTAAACATTTCCAGAGCGAATCCCTATTCTGCTGGAGTGGTGGAAGTGAGTAGGAGGTCTGGCAAGGAGCTGCTTAATCTTT